AATATGTTCCGTCCAACGGCTCTAATTGGCACTTCCAGGCATTTTCTATTTTTAAGTCTACAGTAATGTCGTGTATTTAATTTCACAAAAGATTTGTTACGAATTGTTTGATGAATTGACAAACGATTTGTAGTTTGCATGTTACCATAGGCGTAAAATTGCGTGCATGGCCTTAAATACTACGTAGATTTTTCCTGCAATACTAGACTCTCACATTTTTTATGCAATAAATTGTTTCTGATAAAGAATTTATGTGAATATATTAGAATGGAGTGTTAGTTATTCTTTCATTTTAACCTGCGGGATTGTATCTTCATATTTATACCGCTGGTATAATTGAATCTTTCGCATTATGCAATATCGAATTAATATTATTCTCAGATTGAAGAATTTGTTGGAACACGCTAATGTGACACTTCGTCCTTTTATTCACAGAAATGTTTTAACTTCATGTTAGTATACACAAATTATACCTCAAAGAAGTTTAGTTTTTTTAGTTTTGAAATTTGATGAATTTCGTTTAGCATGTTGGTTTGACTTGCGGTGAAAAGTTAATTACCGAATTATTAAATCGTACTGTTATCTTTTTGTAGGTCAGAATTGTTTATGCGGTGGCAAATATTAAAATAGATTTTAATTTTTGAAATGATTTAAGTGAATAGTTCAAATAATCAATTTACAGTATAAGGCTGTAGAATAATTTTTCATTAAGACTTCGGTTATTTTTGTAGCTTAAAATACTGTATAAATATTAAATTTTATCATATTTAATAATTTCAATAACAAAGTTGAACATCTTCAATAGCACATCTTAATAAGTAAAGAGCCTATTCTTTGGTACATACTGTGACATTCCCAGAACACAAACGATAATTTGAAGGGCGGGCCAGTCTTTAAATTAGTTCACCTCTTCTGTGATTTTCCAGGAGCAGAAGGACTAAGCTAATCATCTTTTAATTTTTTTTGTTGAGAGAGCATTTTTTTTTTCAATTCGCGATGCATTAAAGTAGGCGTAACATAAAGGGGAGAAATAAAAAGCAAACAAATAAGGAATAGCTCAAGTAACCAGCGATGCCCAGGTATTTATCAGTCTTCAATTAAGAGAGTCAGTTGAAATTCATTTCTTTTCCTGACTAATAGAAGACGCGGTAAAAATCCGCACAATGCCGGGCTTGAGCATTGTTCGTTGTGATTCATTTCTCCTCAATTTCCGCCTTGGCGAGGTTTTGTTGTAAATTGGCATAAATTTATATTCATACTCTTGTAAAAATGAATATTAAGTTACCTTTTGTTCCTCTGAAAGTAAGGAGAGTAGAAGCAGATATTTTGGTTGTTAATCGCAGCTTTCGAACAAATGTTTTTGATTTATAGTAATGGTTCTTGTACTCAAGTTTCATAATAATTGGATTGGCACTAGTGATAAATAGAGCGCGGCATGTCGAACACTTCCCGACTCGTGATAAACTTTGTGCAGCGACATCATATTATTTTGTTTTCATTTGCTTAATTAGGAATTTCTCAGGCGATTTCATTCTTCAGAAGTCTTAATAACTAGTTTTTGCATGACCCATGATTTTCGATTCTTTAAAACAACACTTATAACGCCGAGCGTAAAGTCAACACGCTAATTGGCAGGTTGAGAATTCAATCCCGCCAGGACGCCGGAAATTTGCTCGTATCATTGGGTTTGTGACGCCTGGCAGTCGAATTCATCTGTTATGTTTCTGTGATAATTTCTAGGGGGATGGCGAAGCAGTACCGTTGACAATTGTCCACAGACCATGCGCGATCTTACCGTGCTATTCCTGGGCGCTTGTGTCCATAAGTGGAAGCGTTGTAAGATCAGCTACATCAAATATATTTGTTTAAAATTGGCCCTTACGTTCTGTCAATTACATTTTTTATTTCCGAGAAGTGCCTGTTATCTTATTCATAAACTCTGAGGAATCCTAGAGCTACGTGTTTTTGTGCTTTATTAAAAATAACATTCGTGATTTTTTCGTAAAATTTTGGACATGTCTACCTAAATACATTTAATTTCCAAGTTGTGCATGCTATCTGGCTTGCAGTTAGTGGGAAGCGGTTATAATCTAACTAGTTACTTTCGATGTTTTCGACAATTAAGGTGAGATTGGCTTACCATAAGTTTGACTGGCTTACCGTAAGGCTGTTTGCACGAAGGCCACCAGGCAGAGAAAATCAGCGAGTTTAGAATTGCTTGGGAAAGTGAGGAAATTTTATTGCCAGAGAATACATTTTGTCATCGTTTGTTCATGATTTTTTTTTCCAATTCTGTAAGGGTTTATTCATATAATGTTCAGTAATGTTCTAGTTTCATTTTTACATTTTTATAAACATATGTTTTCTTCATTTAAATAATGAGCATGTTTCAGTGCCCTTATTTGTTCCTATATTGTTTTCTTCAACCATTAACTTTTCTTTTTTAATTCTCTAAGAAATCAATAAATTTTATAATTTTAAGTACAATGCGCATTAAAAGACAAAATGCATATACTACGAATTTGTTAAATAAAATTATTTCGTTATGCAACATGTCAAAAAAAATTAATTTTGAAATTTTATTTGTCGAAAGTCTGTGACCACTCGGAGAAGTTTCGAAGTTATTGCTACTTTAACCATTTATAACTATTGCGTAGTTATGGTAAGGTGTAACGTACTTATCTCTTTCTTTTTATTGAAAAAGACGCAACTTACACCAAATCTATTATAATTAAATTAATTTTAATATTAAAAGTTACAAAGAGGAGTATAGTTTCTTTAAAAACTAACTATTGATGCGCTCATTCTGAAAATGCGTCTTTTAAGAATTCTACATTTTAAATGATGAAATTCGACATAGTTGTACTTTAATATCTTCGATATAGACTCCACATCAGGTCTGCCTCAAACAGTGGCGCCATGCCCTCTAGCCACAGGACTTGCTACCGTGGCCATGAACTTCAAGCTCAGATCGGGAAAAAGTAGATTGGTGCACGTGGGGAGGGGGGGCAGCTGCAACAATCCTGACGATATCTCACTCTTGTCTGGCAACCAAAAATGTTCGTTTTGTTCTACTGATTAACGAATAATATGCGCAAAACGATTGTTTCAGGCCGACAATAACTACGTTCCTCGTGGTGCAGTTTTTCAACTTGTTCTCGAAAAACATAAATGACATTTCAGTGCGGCGCAGCACTGCCGGTTTGCCAGAAAAGTGGTGAGGGGAGGAAACGATGGCGGTGCCCACAATTATGGGGCGGATTTCGATCTAAAACACATCCAAAAATGATCAATAATGTAATCTTAAAATGTTTTAAAAATGCCCTAATCACAACCACTTCAGATCAATATAAGTTGTTGATGAAGCTGATGTAATGAAGGCTTGGTCGTGTCAAATGAACTCAGCTTGCGAACTTTTGGTTTGGACTGACCTTTACCAGGAAATCTGCCTGTAGTTTTCCCGAAATCGATCAAACTGGCAATAACACTGATAGCGACACAGGAATAGCTCAAGATTACATTAGATTACTTACAACGACTGATATTATATACATCAAATATGCTACTCAGGAATTCGGTGGAGAATATTTGTTTACATCTCGTAAATATTATATGAAGCTAGTACCATTGAAATGATACTAAAATTGATGACATCAGCGAAAATGCTTGAAAATGACAGGAAAAGGTAAACAAAAAGTCGAAATCGACAAAAAATGCAACTAAGTCATATAAAAATGAGTCATTTCCTTCTGAAATAACGAAATTAAAGTCAATACTGAAAGACATTGTTTTAAAATGAAAATAAAAACTAACATTGAAATCCATCCCTACCGACAATCTAGGTCGTTGGGCAAGCCTGAAGGGTCTTTTAGAAGAAGCGTTAGGCAACCCGCCACACCGAAGTGTTCTCAAAAACTAAGGGTTGCCGCTCTTCCCTGTGAAAAGAAGGAAGATTGATGTGCGGTTACCATTATTTGGGTATTTCGAAATGTTTAGTAAGACAGGGTGGAATGAAAAACCGTCGAGGTTGCAGGAGAGATATTACGTAACTCGTGTATTGGAAAGGAACGAACAAACATTTCATCAGAGAAAGCAAATTCTGATAAGTTTCTTTTTCGTGAACTCATTCAATTTTGTCTTACCAATGCCAAATTTTGAACGAATCCATATGAGCACAATTTTATTGTAACCAATGCTCTTGTCTATTATTTTATTTTTTAATTTCGTTATCGATACATTTTTATTTGTCCCATTCTCCGTATGTACAGACATGAGAGATTTAAAAATATCCTATTACGATGTTTTGATTTATTATCATAAAATAAGTTGAGGTGCATTCACACTACGTTTATATCATGTGAGAAACAAGCTCGAGCCTTACCTTCCTATCCTTACGGAATCCTATTGACAATGTATAATAATTGCTTCGGTTTGAATACCTGAGTATCTACAAGAATGTCTAAATATTACGTTAGAGTAATAGTTAATAGTGGAGAAACAGTGCCTTAAAATGATTCTTCAAAAGATAATAAAAGATCATTCCAACAATTAGCAGACTGACATCGAATACCCTTTTTCTGCTTAAGAGTTCACGGTGTTCATTAGTTGATGTTTCTTGGCCCGAAAAATATATTTCAGCTGATCCGAAAGTAGGCGTTTACATTTAAAATAGTGTTAACAGAGAAGATCGTTTTTTTAATTAAAAAATGTTTTTGTTTTTTTTTAATTAAAAAAGTTGCTTGTAATAGGTGGATGTAGCATATCGACAGAGGTAAAACAACCATATTATTTAGTTGGTTCTCTCTAATATGCAATGAATCAAAGCACGATATTTCTCAACCGAATCCTGAAAATATTGTAATAAAAAAGATTGGGGAAACTATAAATGTTTTTGGTAACGCAATGTAAATCTTTATTTTGCCAGGGAAGTGTATACGATTTATGTGCATGGTTTTATAAGATACTTTGAAACGTAACACGTGTGTTTGCCTGTGCTGCAGGAACGCAACCGCGCGGAGTTCGTGGTGTTCACGGACCGCGCGGACAAGTGGGGGCTGGAGAAATTGATCGAGGAGCTGTGCTCGAGCGCGCGCGTGGAGGCGCACAAGGACCTGCTGGCATGGACGCTGGCCAAGTATCGGAAGCTGGCGGCGCCGCGGCGGGCGCCGGGCGAGGGCGCCGTGCCCGCGGCGCCGGCGGCAGAGGCCGGGGGCGATGCGCCCGCGGGCGACGCGCCGGGCGCCTCCCCGCCCACCTCGGCCGTGGACGCCGGCCGCGAGGAGAAAGAGTGGCGCGCCAAGATGGCTGCGCAGAAGCGCGCCAAGATCATGGCGCAGATGACGGCCATGCAGAAGAACTTCATGAAGGAGAACGCCAAGCTGTTCGAGGCGACGCTGTCGGGGCTGGGCGACGCCGGGCGGTCGCGCGCGGGAGACGCGGCGCCCGCGGGGGCGGTGGAGGGCGACGAGCTGCGCGGCTCGTCCATGGACCTGTCCGAGGGCCCCGACTCGCATGCGGTGGCGCTGGGCCCGCACCAGTCGGTGCGCGCCGCCCAGCAACGCGCGCACACGTGCATCCTGTGCCAGGAGGACCAGGCGGTGACGGCGGACGGGCCCGCGCTGGTGCTCGCCGCCTTCGTGCAGCAGTCGACGGTGCTATCGCGCGTGCGGGAGCCCGGCGCCGCCAACGCGCCGCCGCCCGACGCGCTCTTTCTGCCCGCGGCACTGGGCCCTGCGCCGCACACCGGCACCTGCGGCCACGTGATGCACAGCCGCTGTTGCCAGAAGTACCTGGACAACGTGCTGGCCAAGGAGAGCCGCCGGCCGTACCGCATGCGCCAGCCGGCCTCGTTTGACGTGGAGAAGCAGGAGTTTCTGTGCCCACTGTGCGAGTGCCTGAGCAACACGCTGCTGCCGCTGGTACCGCCGCTCGCCGCACTGCAGCCGTCGCCCAAGCCCGCGCCCGAGCTGGCGCTGGAGCCCTGGCTGCAGGGGCTGCGCGTGGCGCTCAAGTACAAGCGCCGCCTGGGGCGCGGCCGTAGCGCGGAGCCCGCGTCCCCGACCCCCGCAGCTGCAGCTGGGACCGCCGGATCGGCCGCGGCCGGCGCAGCTGCAGTCGCCGCCGCCGCCAGCGACGCGAGCTTGGGCTCGCCCGAGCCGCCCGCCGACGAGGCCGAGCCCCAGCCGCAGTTCTACACCTGCCCCATCGACCAGGTGCTGGTGGAGATGGGCGACCTCGCCGGCGACTTCGCCGCGCTGTTTCCGAGCGAGGGCACTCCTGACGGATCGCCCGCCTCCTCCCAGCTGTCCGAGAACTTGTCCGAAATGATCCAGCTCTTCTCACTGGTAATTTACTTTCTTAATATCTCACTTGATGTAATAGTCACAAAGATAGTTGGTTTTTGGCAAGGCTCATAGCTTCATGCTTTTCCTCATTCTGGCCAGATTATTACTGTGGTGGTTTGCATTTCACACTCTGTTCTTAATTAAATAACATCTCGTGGTCTTTAAAATCTTGATGTGATTATTAATACTTACAAGTGGTGCAATCCACATTTTTCTTGGCCACGCCAAATGACTGTCAATAGACATTCTATGACCCTAGGGTATTAAATTTTATAAAATTAATTATAGGTACAATATGAAACTTGGCTATCTGTACTAAAAAGTTTTTTCTATACAAATGTATAGAAAGTATATGTATATGTATGTATAAGTATAGAGTTTTCTAAAGCATTTTATATTGAATTTTGGGTAATCAATTGAACATTTTCTTTCTAGGCAACATACACCAAAGGATTGGGAGTTCATCCTCATATGGGTGACTCGAGGGTAACATTAATGGCATGGAAATCATGTGCTTATACAATTCATGCATTGGAGAACCTGTTGCGTGATGGTGGACGACCTCTTCTGGGTGGGCTATCCAGCCGCCAGCAAGACTGCCTAGAAGGTTTAGTCAGACTAGTAGGAGTCTTAGCCAGCACATGGCGACATCCTCGTGTTCTGGGAAGCCATGCCTTGCAATTATTGTCACTTCTTCTGGAGACAGTACCAGACGGACCTTGCTTGTTTGAGTGGGACTCTTTTGGAATTCTTGTGCCCCTTACACTGTCTCTTCCAAGTCTATTTTCAACTGATGCACCTCCACCAGTTCCTACTGGTGATGCCCAGGATCTTAATGTATTGAAGCTAATCTTTGCTGCAAATGCAGTTAAAGCACTGCTTACTCTAGATACCTCTTCCCTTGAAGAAGCCATGGATGTGGAAGATGATGACAAAGATGAAGAAGCACTTCGGCCACTGATAGATTTAATTAGAAGTGCACATGCGGCTGCAGGTTTGACCCCTGACCTAGGTGATTTACCATCTGCTCGACAGCTATGGGCTCACGTTCGGAATGCATCTTTACCATTCTTACGTTGTTGTGCTCTTTTTTACCATTTCTTGACTGGTGTGCCAGCACCACCAGCGTTGACAGAGGCTCATGGAGACACCTTTGAGAATCTCTGTTCATACTTAGACTTGCCTGTTGGAGTTACTGATCTACTGGGCACCTCTCTTGTTCAGGAACTGACAAGAGGTTGGTGTGAACACCCAAAAGTCAAGTGGTACCTCACAGAGGGATCTGGATCTTTACTAAGATTGCCAGCACCTGTTAACCAACTGGTACCATTGCCAACTGATTATAGTGAGCTCATTAACACAGTGTCAATGTTTACCTGCCCCAACAGTGACCGAGAAGACTCGCGTAATCCTACACTGTGTTTAGTATGTGATGAAATGCTGTGCTCACAAAGTTACTGCTGTCAAACTGAGCTAAATAAGTCACTGGTGGGGGCATGTACATACCATGCTCATGAGTGTGGTGCAGGAGTAGGACTGTTCCTACGAGTACGTGAGTGTGAAGTACTGCTGCTTGCAGCCCCAGGACGTGGCTGCTTCCTGACACCACCTTACCTGGATCAATATGGAGAAACTGACCAGGGACTGCGACGTGGCAATCCTTTAACCTTGTGCCCTGAACGATATCGTCGACTACACACCTTGTGGTTGAGTCATGGAGTGCATGAAGAAATAGCACGAGCCTTAGAAACGAGCAGTAATGTGATGTCAACACAATGGCAACATCTGTAATTTTCATTTCAGCAGTACCTTCCCACTGCAAATCTCCTGGCAAGATGCCTGTTTATTTCCTGTTGCAAATTTACTCATCAGTAAACTATTTATTGAAAATTTATGTATTTTTCTCCTGCCTGTAAATAACACTTGTTAAAAAATTATGGGTGAGTAGCTGTATAGTTATTAAAGTTACTGTAAATTGATCGGTTTTGCTACATTGGATTAGATGAATAGTTGTTGATTTTATTTTGTAATTTACTTGAACATTTAAAATTTGGCACACACATTTTTTAAACCACCAAAACTATGTGACCGTAAATGAACGCAGTAGAGGACTTTTGTAAAAGATGTCTGGAATGTTATTTTATTTTTTTCTATATAATTTCAACTTGACACAATAAGATGTCAAAGATTATTGTTTTTAAGAGTTCTTGATTATGAAGAATATTTGGAAATGTTTACTTATTGTAATGCATGTTCAGCAGAGATGCAGTCTCCTGGATGACTTAAAGAGATGAGACTTGCATAATCCTTGATAGTTTGGCATTAACAACGCATGATTTTATACTTCCTTAATTTTTTTATCTTGTGAACTTAGAGATTTTAATATATATGTATATTTGTTACAGTATTTGCTAATTTTTGATTTCTAACAAGCTACCAGTAAATAGTTGTAGGTCCCTTACACTGGGGTGGAAGAGAATTGATCATGCACATGACTGCAATATGTTCTTGTATTCACAGAGGTAGAGCTGCCTACTGCACATTACTTCGAGGTGAAACTAATGTTTTATAAGAAACTGAAGATAATGGCAGCACAGTATTAGAAACATCAATTCCCCTTCTTTATAGTGCAACAGCCTGGCTTTACTATCTTCTTTGCATAATCATGCAACATGTGGTTGTTGTTGTTTTTTTGTTTTGTTTTGTTTTGTTTTGTTTTTTCCCTCTTTATTGAAAAGCATGCATATTTCCTGTATGATGGTTCTGAATCATTATACACTTCTTTGCATGCCCGTGTTTGATTACTTGTTTAGGATTGTGGGTCAGTTTGGTCAATGCTAGTTTTAGTAATTATTTTCTTAATAAACTGTTAGTAACAATTGCTACATCTGCGCTTTAATGCATGCATCTTTCATCCTAGAACCTACTCCTACCAATTTTAACTTGCAAACATTTTCCTCTTTGCCTCTTCTTCTGTCACTTTAATAGGATTAATGCTTTTCGGTGGAAGAGAAAATCTTTCATTGATGTAGACCACTAAGAAGCAAAAGCTAAATTGAAGAGTGCAGGTTTCAGTGATTAGAGTTGTATTTGGCATATTTGAAAGCACGCAATCAGATATGTTAGTGACACTTCAGTCTGTGTGTATAAATATATGGTGTTTTAGAACTCAATCTCATTGTATGGCTAGAATTAATTTGTTGCTCCCTGAAGAGTTTGGATTCAAGATTCTTTGTTTCAAGAGTAGGCAGTGGCTACAAGATATGCTGGACTTGACAGGAGTGCAGTCAGAAATTAATTATTTTTCTTCTTTTTCATAGGTATTGTGCTGACAATCCTATAACTTTCATATTCTTTAAGTAATTGTTATATTTATTTTGTTATTGGCATGACTTTGACTCTTTTGAGTTTTAAGATTTTGTAATTATAGGATATGAATGACATTTCATGTGATATCTTGGATGAGCTGTTTTGGAATTAAATGTGTATAAAGAGAAAAGGAATATTAAAGATCATGAAATGTTCTAAAGTACATTGTTTTAATGCAATTTATAGAGAAAATGTTTGGATTTCCTAGCGAGTAGTTTTGTATGCCTACGTAAGTCTGTTATCTTTCAGTGAGAAAGCTTCTGAACCTGTACCATATAATTGTTAAGAAGTAACCATATCAATGGTTTTAATAGATGATATATTTTAAGGAGAGAGGGCATAGGAATTACAAAATTCTTTTTAGTTAGGGCTTTTAATTTTTCTTCAAGCAAATTGTCAATATTATTGGTACCCTTTCAAAGTTCAAAAATTTAAGGAAGTATATTACTTCTTTTGTGTTGAAAGAATTGAAATCTTTTCTCTGAAATTTGTCTGAAAGTAATACATTAGAAAATGTGTATCAAACATTGAATTGACTTAACCTGTACCTAAATAACGAGTAATTAGGTATGAAGATTTTACCAGTTTGGTTTGTCTAGATCTTGTTTCCAAAATATCTGCCACTTTGTATTTGCAAGTGAAAAACTAGTTTTCTAATTCCGTATTGTTTTTTTGCTAGAAAATTATTTAAATATTGGGCTAACAAATTGTGTTTAGTTCTAGGAAAACAAATGGGTACATTGGTTTAGATAGTAAATAGCACAAATTCACAGTGGAATTTCGTTAGTGCATTCCCCATCACATATGCTCACGTAATGCATCTGCATTTTTGAGTCCCATCCCAATTCTATTACATTACTTGTTGACAGGTTTAACAATCTCACTTAATTCATCCAAAGTTTGTCAGAATCCTGTTCTGTGATCTAGGTGTTTTCTGGTGTAGAAGTATCATCTTCAATGTGCATTGTTTTCAATGCGCTTTGGGGTGCAGCTTATGTTAGTTTAGGGTATTGTCAATCTATCTGATTACAGACACTAAACCAGAGAAACATGTCCTGTGCCTCCATGCCATCTTAATTCTTTGTTCTTGTGATATGTCAGGTTACTATGCGTTACTTTGAATTTGATTGACTGAGGATCCTTTTTTATGTTAATGTGTATTGTTTTTAGTGTTTATATCTGTAATTCAGATTTTATTCAGTAAATAAGTTTATCTCCTGTGTGTTTGTGTGTTAATTATGTGTGAATTTATTCCTCTTCCCTGTTATCGTGAAGAGGAAATGTGAAAAGTATAAATTGAACACTGTTTCCATAATGTTTTCATGCTTACAATGTTTACAATTTTTAATTCCTTCAAAAATATTCTAACGAGGTTCCACTGAGTTTACAAAAGCATTTACAATCTGTTCTTCTTGAGGGTATTCATTCGTTACTCATTCTGTGTACATCTTTCTTAAAAATATTTTCAACTGTAAATGTGTTTAGTCTTCTAAATTTACCTAATGTTCATTGACTTTGTGCCCTCTTTCAAGATCCAATTCATTGTAATAAGGGATAAATTCAGCCAATATAGTAACAGGTAATGGAAGTTAAATGGTTTAACTAGTGAATTACAACAACAAACTAGTGAATTACTGAAAAATATTTTTTCTTGACCTTTTTCCTGAAAGCCTTCAGTTTTTCAAGTACATATGGGTAAAGTTTTCTGATTTCTATTAATGTATGGCGGAGATACTCTTGAAAAGTCACTTCGCTACTTGAGGGTGCATAATTCGTTGCAAAATACCCATTACATGAAAAATGAGAATAGTTAATCAGACTACTGTAATCTTACACAAAATGACTCAAGGAATTATAAATCAATAATAATCCTGTTATTGAGGTTATTTCAATAATCAGTAGTTATATTTTTAGTTGTAAAGCATGTTTCGAAAAACATTTACTAGAGAGTAATGAAAGTTTGCATACAAACTCAAGCCAGGAGGACTAGAAACTAGTATTCTAGCCGGAGATATAGAATGTACATCAGTAATTCTACTCAGGGTGGGCACTAGGCTTGAGCAGACCGGGCAATTGCCTGGGGCCCAATGATGGTACTGATGGGGAAAAAATAATAAATAATTGAAAAAGAAATTAAAACTTGAATATCTTTATTGTTGTTTTATAATAATTTGTGGATCAGTACTCTGATAATTCGTACAATTTTCAATTAATTGTTTACCTTATTATAATCATGACTTGTAAGATACGCCACAATGGCATGAATCAAACAATGCTGTCATTAAAATAGGATATTCTTAAATTAATATTTACTATTTTATCTCTTTAACGAGTAATTTTAATAATCACTAACTAAACAATTTTATTAGAGTTTTAACCTCTGGGGGAATCACTAAATACTTTTATTTGAAACAATTATTTAAAATTAATTTCCAAATTTTTTCTAGCTTAAATGTAATTTTTGTTATTTGTTGAAATGAAATACCTCATATAGTTTCTTCGTCCAACTTTCACAATTTTAATTTTTTCCCCGGGGGAGGGGGGGGCTACGTTTAGCATTGCCATGGGCAAAAATTGTCTAGCTCTCACACCGATTCTTGTACACTTAGCTCAGGCCAACGCTCTCTGGACAAACATGGGGAGCTGCTAAGTCTCAGTGTTTGGCTACAAGCAGTGTGTTCGTGTGCTCTGCCTTTTGCCAAGGGCCTTGAAAAAACATGAAGTCTACAGGACTTTGTGCTAGAAATGTTGCGAATCGTTTACAGCTCCGTCTTTGGATGAAAATTGCCTAGCTTGAAGTACCTTCCGATAGGCTGTTCATCTGGCTCAAGACGAAACTTTGAGATTTTGAAAAGCATTCTTCATAATTTGGTGGTACTTCACTAAAAGCCCTCTGAATATTTTCAAAATGTTTTCAAAAATGATTCCAATTTTTTTCTTTAAATTTCTTGTGAGATTTTTTCATAATTTTCAAAAAATTCAAAAGTATGATTTTTTTCAATGTCTTCCTACAAATACAAAATGGTAGATAGAGATTCTTTCTTCAAATAAAATTTGTTCTCCATACTGAAGTCTTTCATTAAGGTCATGGTCATTTTTTTAATTAGTAGTTTTCGTGCAATATGTGCAATTTAAAAAAAAATTATAAAAATGAGATTTTGTGAGATGAAGAAAACGTAAAATAATCCAATTTTTTCCATAATCTTGTTCACATACTAAAAACATTTAATAAATGAAATTTAAAAGGAGTAATCTTAAACATCCTATTCTTAGTAATAGACAATTTTTTGAAACAAAAAGTCACCCTATTAAAGACCAATCCTCCAAAAGACCACCTTTTTTAACGGAACCAACATTGGCCGCTTAATGCCGGTTTCATTCGAGTGAAAGAGGAAAAGCATAAATCAGCTACAATTTGTGGCAGGGATCTTTCCCTTTTCTGCGAAATTTCTGTTTATGCTTAAAGAAAAATTAAAGTCGCTAATGATCTTGAATTTGATGTGACGATAAATTTAGGAATTCTAAGCTTAGCTACCCAAAAATAATTTCAATTCAATTCGAAATTTGGTTACGCAAATCATAAGAGAGTAGACAGCAATTGGAAACCAGTATTGTTGCATACATGCAGTTTGCTTGTGTTCAAACATCATCGTAACAGTTTCTCAGAATCATTTTTCAGTAAGTGTATAAGAATCGGGTTTCCAAAGTTCAATGGTGGTAGATTACTTATTAATCTTTATTCTTCTGATAAAAGGCAGTGTCGGATTTCCTTGGAAGCAACACAAGCAGCTGCTCGGGGTCCGACTTCGGCGGTGATATTAATTCAAAATTAATTTAAATGAGTAAATTTGTCAGATACGGTTTCAGAAAATTGTTAGTGAGTGGTAAGTGAGATGTAAAATAATAATAATAATAATAATAATAATAATATATAAAATAATAATAATAATAATAATAATAATCACCGAGCGGAGTTGCTCAGTGCGAAGCGCGCTGACTTCGCAGTCGGGAAGTCCGGTTTCGATCAACGGGTCGGCCGTCTATTATTTTTAAGTATGGTTACCATACGTGCTCTTGTGTTCAAATACTCTTATAAAAGGCATCCTCAATAGTGTTTTTTTACATTTTTTCATAATTTTATGAATAATAGTATTATCTATATAATCCTTAACATATTAAAATGTATTACATTCATTTTTTTAAAACAATATTTCATTATTTTAAAAGATTTCTTCCCTTTCAAGTCTTTATTACAGTAAAGCTCAAACGCCATTTTCTTAAAAACTGCCCCAAATTTTTCAGTACAAATTGCAATTTACGACGAGGTTTTACTCTTCTTTAATATTATAAAAGTAATATTTGGGTTCTACAATTAGGAAACTGAAAAATTGATAAATTGTAAAAGAATGTTCTTTGGGCGGCGATAGATGGCAGCTGACAAGTGGATGGGGCAAGACCGTAAAGCCAATTCACATCAAGAAAATTAGAAAACTTTACTACGAGAATGTCTGTGCCATTTTGTAGCACCATTAGTTCTGTCATAAATTATTTTTAACAATACTTTCTACTAGTTAAATGTGGCGTCGCCGACGCTTTAAACCTGGTTTGATGGTTTTCATTCTTTCTTCGGTTCAGAGTCCTCTTTATTATTTTTAATGTTTTTTCAGCGTTGCGAAGTAACCACTAAAATGTTGCAACCATTTTGTGATATTGAGCTCAAATTCTACCTTTAGCTTTCTTGATCTTAGGTAATGCAATTGTTTCATAAAATGACTTCGTCTTTCTCTTCGAAAAAGCTTTTAAGGTACTGGAGTTTAATCAACGCCTACATAGATCTACTTAGGTGGTGTTGGTTTAATTCCCGGCTTAGTCAGCAAGATCGCAGAGTCAAAACACAAAAAAATATGTTTTTGGAATTTTCTTAGAATTTTATGGCCGGATTCTTAAAAAAATTATCAAACCCCATTAGCAGACCGAGACGCTTTGAATGACACCTCGTATGTCTCGATTGGTACACGGAAAGGGGTCAGAGCCGTGAGTGACGGAACCGCACATCCACACAAATGGACACCGCACCTCTGCACACTCAAGGAGTTACTCAAATACTATGTAGGTATATGCTATGTAATTAGAATGCGATCACGAAAATAGTGGTGCTTCAACCACATGATTTTCTCGAATTTCTAACTTTCGAATAGGCAGAGAGTAAACAAAGATGAGACCTGCGTCAGTTTTAAGGGTCTTTGCGGATACCCGTGGAAAAACATTAAAAGAAAAAAAATTGAACCGAATTTTGAGGAAAAAATTCTTTAACTTCAAACTCAAATTAGGCAAAAACTATTTTTTTCATAAAATTGTACATTTTTTTTATTATTCCACTTGTTAAATTAAAACCAATAGTGTTTAGCTAAACATATAAAATGCCCCAATCAGGGCGGTGTATCTAAAAAAATGTATCGCTTTTTCTATCCCATTTTTCTTACCGCTTCTTCTTACTGGCCAATCATAAACTGTGACCCATCTATCTTAGGTGGTGGTATTGTGCATCGATCGCTATGTCGAAATGAACCGCGTATGTATTATAACAACATATTTGATTTTTACATAGCTTTCAGTTACTTTCATTCATTTCATTCATTATTGAAATTCTCTAAAGGTCTTCATGTGATCATTCGCTTATTGATTTGAATGGTTCTTTCCGCTGATGACATCGTGTAAACAATCACTTCTTTCCTTTGTGCCTTGTATTTTTGTCGCGTCTCCCGTCGAGCATCATGTCGCGCGAGACCAGGGTTCCCAGATTGGGCGGAATTTCGCTTTTTGGGCTGGAAATAGTCTCTCTCGCCAGACAAGAATTGATTTCGCGGAGTTCTAACCAATGAGCGGAAAAACGCATTCAAACGTGTGCGGTTTTGGGCGAGTTTTCAGATTGCGACGAAATTTTCAAAAAAAGAAAAAAAACGTTGACAATGAGTTTCATTGTTTAATTTTTTACTTTATACGTGATTTTTCATTAATAATTTGTTAATTGGTTCAAATTTACTTTGAGTACTGAGTAATATTAGTATTCGTACGTTTGGAGTAGAGTAATTTCAGACCTCTAGTAGGGTGTGTTCTGAAAGTTATAGTTTATTGGTCGTGGCCAACATGAGTACATATTATATCACATTGCCAGTACTTGGAATTAATTTAAGAACAATTCATTTAAATTTAATTTTAGCTACAATA